TAATCACCACTCATCCTCACCAATCACACCCTCAACAATCACCACTCACCCTCACAACTCACCCTCACCACTCACTCTCACCACTCACTCTCACCACTCACTCTCACCACTCACCACTCACCCTCACAACAACCACTCACCCTCACCGCTCAGCACTCACCCTCACTACTCACCCTCACCACTCACCAGTAATCCTCACCAATCACACCCTCACCAATCACCACTCACCCTCACCACTTGCCACTCACCCTCACCACTCACCACTCACCCTCACCACTCTCCCTCACCACTCTCCCTCACCACTCACCAGTCACGCTCACCACTCACCCTCACTACTCACCACTCACCCTCACTACTCACCACTCACCCTCAACACTCACCCTCACCACTCACCCTCACCCTGACCACTCACCCTGACCACTCACCACTCATCCTCACCAATCACACCCTCAACAATCACCACTCACCCTCACCACTCACGCTCACTCACCCTCACCACTCATGCTCACCACTAACCCTCACCACTCACTAATCACCTCTCACAACCATCACTCACCCTCACCACTCACTCTTACCACTCACCCTCATCACTCACCCTCACCACTCACCCTCACAACAACCACTCACCCTCACTACTCATCCTCACCAATCGCACCCTCACCAATCACCACTCACCCTCACTGCTCACCCTCACCGCTCACCACTCAACCTCACCCTCACCACTCACGCTCACCCTCACCACTCACCTCTCACTAATCACCACTCACAACTGCCACTCACCCTCCTCACTCACCCTCACCACTCACCCTCACCAATCACCACTCACCCTCACCACTCACCCTCACCATTCACCCTCACCACTCACCCTCACCATTCACCCTCACCACTTTCCCTCACCACTCTCCCTCACCACTCACCCTCACCACTCACCAGTCACTCTCACCACTCACCCTCACTACTCACCACTCACCCTCAACACTCACCCTCACCGCTCACCACTCACCCTCAACACTCACCCTCACCGCTCACCACTCACCCTGACCACTCACCACTCATCCTCACCAATCACATCCTCACCAATCACCACTCACCCTCACTTCTCACCCTCACCCTCACCACTCACCCCTCACTAATCACCACTCACAACCGCCACTCACCCTCACCACTAACCCTCACCACTCACCACTCACTAATCACCTCTCACAACCGTCACTCACCCTCACCACTCACTCTTACCACTCACCCTCACCACGCACCCTCACAACAACCACTCACCCTCACAACAACCACTCACCCTCACTACTCACCCTCACCACTCATCCTCACCAATCACACCCTCACCAATCACCACTCACCCTCACTGCTCACCACTCAACCTCACCACTCACGCTCACCCTCACCACTCACTCCTCACTAATCACCACTAACAACCGCCACTCACCCTCCCCACTCACCCTCACCACTCACCCTCACCAATCACCACTCTCCCTCACCACTCTCCCTCACCACTCTCCCTCACCACTCTCCCTCACCACTCTCCCTCACCACTCTCCCTCACCACTCTCCCTCACCAGTCACGCTCACCACTCACCACTCACGCTCACCACTCACCCTCACTACTCACCCTAACCACTCACCCTCACCCTCACCGCTCACCACTCACCCTCACCACTCACCACTCATCCTCACCAATCACACCCTCACCAATCACCACTCACCCTCACTGCTCACCCTCACCACTCACCCTAACCACTCACGCTCACCCTCACCACTCACCCCTCACTAATCACCTCTCACAACCGTCACTCACCCTCACCACTCACTCTTACCACTCACCCTCATCACTCACCCTCACCACAACCACTCACCCTCACTACTCATCCTCACCAATCGCACCCTCACCAATCACCACTCACCCTCACTGCTCACCCTCACCGCTCACCACTCAACCTCACCCTCACCACTCACGCTCACCCTCACCACTCACTAATCACCACTCACAACTGCCACTCACCACTCCTCACTCACCCTCACCACTCACCCTCACCAATCACCACTCACCCTCACCACTCACCCTCACCATTCACCCTCACCACTCACCCTCACCATTCACCCTCACCACTTTCCCTCACCACTCTCCCTCACCACTCTCCCTCACCACTCACCCTCACCACTCACCAGTCACTCTCACCACTCACCCTCACTACTCACCACTCACCCTCAACACTCACCCTCACCGCTCACCACTCACCCTCAACACTCACCCTCACCCTCACCACTCACCCTCACCACTCACGCTCACCCTCACCACTCACCCCTCACTAATCACCACTCACAACCGCCACTCACCCTCACCACTAACCCTCACCACTCACCCTCACCACTCACTAATCACCTCTCACAACCGTCACTCACCCTCACTACTCACTCTTACCACTCACCCTCACCACGCGCCCTCACAACAACCACTCACCCTCACAACAACCACTCACCCTCACTACTCACCCTCACCACTCATCCTCACCAGTCACACCCTCACCAATCACCACTCACCCTCACTGCTCACCACTCAACCTCACCACTCACCCTCACCACTCACTCCTCACTAATCACCACTAACAACCGCCACTCACCCTCCCCACTCACCCTCACCAATCACCACTCTCCCTCACCACTCTCCCTCACCACTCTCCCTCACCACTCTCCCTCACCAGTCACGCTCACCACTCACGCTCACCACTCACCCTAACCACTCACCACTCACCCTCAACACTCACCCTCACCGCTCACCACTCACCCTCACCACTCACCCTGACCACTCACCACTCATCCTCACCAATCACACCCTCACCAATCACCACTCACCCTCACTGCTCACCCTCACTGCTCACCCTCACCACTCACGCTCACCCTCACCACTCACCCCTCACTAATCACCACTCACAACCGCCACTCACCCTCACCACTCACCACTCACCCTCACTACTCACCACTCATCCTCACCAATCACACCCTCAACAATCACCACTCATCCTCACCACTCACGCTCAACACTCACCCTCACCACTCATGCTCACCACTAACCCTCACCACTCACCCCTCACTAATCAGCACTAACAACCACCACTCACCCTCCCCACTCACCCTCACCCTCACCAATCACCACTCACCCTCACCACTCAACCTCACCCTCACCACTCAACCTCACCCTCACCACTCACCCACACCACCACCACTCTCCCCCTCACCACTCTCCCCCTCACCACTCTCCCCCTCACCACTCTACACCTCACCACTCTACCCCTCACCACTCTCCCCCTCACCACTCTCCCCCTCACCACTCTCCCCCTCACCACTCTCCCCCTCACCACTCTACCCCTCACCACTCTACCCCTCACCACTCTACCCCTCACCACTCTACCCCTCACCACTCTACCCCTCACCACTCTCCCCCTCACCACTCTCCCCCTCACCACTCTCCTCCTCACCACTCTCCCCATCACCACCACTCTCCCTCACCACTCTCTCACTCACCACTCTCCCCCTCACCACTCTCCCCCTCACCACTCTCCCCCTCACCACTCTCCCCCTCACCACTCTCCCCCTCACCACTCTCCCCCCTCACCACTCTCCCCCTCACCACTCTCTCCCTCACCACTCTCTCCCTCACCACTCTCCCCATCACCACTCTCCCTCACCACCACTCTCCCCCTCACCACTCTCCCCCTCACCACTCTCCCCCTCACCACTCTCCCCCTCACCACTCTCCCCCTCACCACTCTCCCCCTCACCACTCTCCCCCTCACCACTCTCCCCCTCACCACTCTCCCCCTCCTAAAGGAATCTACAACCTTCGATGATTCCTTTGCGCGATTCAAAGAATCGATTCCTGGCGCATAGGAGGTTCCCATTTTGAATGACAGAGTTTTATTTTCATTGATATGTTATGTTTTAATGTTTTCAGGAGTTTTTAATAACATTTTTGCCCCGGTCAACGCCGGATATTTCCCGTTCGTAGCAGTTTATATCGACTTTAACCAACTTATAGTAAACGGGAATCGTCCGAATCTAAAGGAATCTACAACCTTCGATTCCTTTGCGCGATTCAGAGAATCGATTCTTGGCGCGTCGGGTTTATAATTTTAATTACACACTTGTATTTTCATTGGTATGTAATGTTTTAAAGTTTTCAGAAGATTTTAAATGTATTTTCCCCCCGGGCAACGCCGGGTATATCGAGTTTATACCACAAAGTCGTCGCTTGACACGGGTGGGGTGTCGAGGCCTAGTACCGTGCAGAGCCTCCGGCCTTGCCTAGATTGCCCACCCGGCTGAGGGTGTGTACTGGGGCCAATACCCCCCCCCCCCCGCGCTACAATAATACTGTCTAATCGCTATAATTTTATTATCTACCGACCCTATAATAGTAATTGCACACATTGGGGTGGAAGGGGAGTGAAGAGGACGTGAAACTTTGATGAATTTACCTCAGAATCGCGTGTTAATGCGTGCGCATATTTTTAATGGTAATTCAAAATGGCGTCCACCCCGCAGCGAACGCGTCTCTACCCGTTGCCAGGGGCAACCGCCGTGGTCCGCGCCGGCCGGCAAGAGTAAATAAATAAATAAAGCGTTCAATAAATAAAGATAAATCGCACTAAATCGATAATCGGTCCGATTTAAAGTTTAGAGACGAAAAATCGGAAATGCCTAAGTTTACCGTGGGGCCGGGGGCATGCCCACCTGCAAAATTTAATCTCGCCGAACCCCACGGTCCGAGAGCTAAATCCCCCGGTAGGGAGCGTACGCGGACGGACGGACGGACAAAAAATGAATTATATAGGTTAGATTGGTTGACTGACAAAATCAACTTAAGATTGGTCCTTGACTTAGCCATCTTAACTCCCTCATAGAATCGGGGTCATGGCAAGATTTGGCTGAAGCAAATTTTATAACAGCACATGTCATTCTGTACTCAGGCTCCCAGGGAAGCAACGTACCCGGAATGCTTCCAGAGCTTGAAGCGGACTTCATGCTGGAGGAGGAGAGGGATGACCAGTCCGAGGTCACCTCGGCCCTCTTCAAAGCATCTTGATAGTTGTCGTACATCGTGCGCCCATACTATAAAAATAAAACAAGTCCATTGTCTCTATTGTACACACCATTATTAAGAGGCATCATTACTCCCCCTACGAGCCCCACAGGATCAAAGGATTTTAACAAGGAGACAAATATGGCCGATGGGTGGTGCATTGAGAACAAATGTTTGCTCAGCAAGAAGGGCCTGGGTTTGATTCCTGATTTGGGCACCTTTGTGCATGATGTTTGTTTGTTCTCTTGCTCTGTCCTGCATGGGTTTCCTCCAGCTTCTCTGGTTTCCTCACATACTGTCAAAAGTATTGGCCAAACATGTCAATGCTAAAAAAATACCTGAAAATTAATCAATTTGGATCATACTTTCGCTATGACAAAAAACATTTTGCAGAAACCTCCTGAAAAATATGTTTGGGACTCAATAAGGCCTTCCAGGGTAACAACATATAAAAAAATAATAGTTTGAGTACGTGCATCGTATGCATCCCATAAAACATTGGATAGTTTCTAAGACGTAATGTAACATACCTGGTTTACAAATATCATTATTCACCATCGATTGCTTTAACATCAACTTACTGAATGTGCGATATGGACACACTTGAAATTGAATGTCAGCTAAATTGCAAACGTAACTGAAATTAAATACAGTTTGTAAAACACTAACGAGTCATGTGATGCAGCAAATTAATGGTCAGCTCGCTGCGCTTGAAAGCTGGAGGTCACCGGTGGAATTCCATTTCCAGGTGCTGCAGTTGCCAATAACAGGGCAAGTGGCCCAAAACCTGCCCCTGGCTGTGTCCACTCAGCATTGTAATGGAGACTCAGTGGTTAGCTGGTCAGCAGAGACTGTGTGTGGTGGGGTAAAGTGTGGGTAACTCTACGTCTTTCAAGACGTCTGACCGGCATGGCGAGCAGTCTGTTCTCCTATAACGCCGTGTGTTTTCATTATGTAAAATGGATATAAGGCAATTAATGTATTAGGGAATGCATTTTTGTTATAACGCGGATGCACAATGGATATAGCGTGATTGAATGAACAGAACTATGTTGCGCAAGCAGGAATGAGCGGTTGCATGGCTGCCTTGGCGTAGCATCACACAAGGCATTGGGATGCTGCTGGATGCTTCTAAATGCTACTCACACGCCTTATTCTTTGTTAGGCCTGCGTACGCATCTCACGTGTTATCATGGACTGTGCTTTACACCCTACATTATATATTATAGCGCGATTTTCCATCACATAGTGTTCTTCAGGAATGCAACTACCACTGAGTTATAAGAGGACAGACTGTGGGTGGTGTTAGCGGAGCTCCCCCTGCTGGAGACCCTTCTGCCAACGTTCGCATAGTTGCATAATTATCTCTCTTTTTTTACTTACAATCGGATTTCATGAAACTAAGTTGTAACTTGAATATCAAGGAAGGGTAAAGGAAGATAAATATCATACTTGCTGGAAAACCGGGTATAGCACAGGTAAAGATATTGATCACGGAAGATGAAGGGTGTGTAGCAGAAATAATATCAAGGGTTGGTTGGCAAGAGGAATTTGGTAACAGGGGAGAGTTGTCGATAAGGATAAGAAAAATTGTCAAGAGGGAAATTATCACAATGGTGCAGAGCACGCTTTGAATGGAGAGGACATGTGGACACTGAGAATGGACAAAATGAGACAGTTTAGAAGTGTTCATGATGTGGATATGGAGAAGGATGCAGAGAATGATCTGAGCAGAGAAGACGAATGAAGATATCTTGAATGGCATCAACGAAAGAAAAACACCAATGGAAGTCACCAGGGGGAGAAAGAAGAACCGGATTGGACAAATTATATGCGGGGACCATTTGACGAAGGACGTTATAGAAGGAAAAATGAAGGGAAAAGAACGAAACGGTTGGTATGTTGGAGGAGCTGAAGGAAGGGGGCATTTGTGGACATGAAGAGGGCAGAAAACAGAGGAGGGATGGAGACGATGTCGGCCTTGGACCTGCCGCTCAGACAGAGCACCAAAGTAGCATAGACAACAAGTCAGTGCTTTTGACCATGCAAAACAGAGGGAGCATGGAATTAAAAAAACCACATTTGTATCGTGCATACTGTTCGTGTTTTCCATTTACGAGCAAGATGCTGGGGGGTGGGGGGCAGGAGATGCGATGGAGACCCACCTTGGCGACACGAATGCCAGTCACCCACTGCTGCAGCCCACTCGCATCATCACAGCAAAGGTACTTGATGTACTGAGACTTCTTCTGAATTTGTGGATGCTGTGAACAGAGACGATACACTTATTTTCCCGTTCCATTTATGCCGCTGTTTTGTATTATTTAGACGTGTGTTTTACTTAGGGCTCGGTTTATTTGAGCATGGATGACTAAATACATTTCCACTGTGTCGAATTACCTTTCAATTTGAATATTGAACAAAAATGCTAAACTTAACAAACAAAAAATACCTCGAAAATTACTGAAATTCAAGGTATGGAAGAAATAATAATGATGCTGTTATTCTCTTTAATCAGGTTCACCAACACATGGTCCACTCAAACAATAAACATACCGCCCGGAGTTACAAGTCGTACGCGTTCTTTATGGAGCCATCGTTGGGATTTTAAATATATGAGGGGTGAGGAAGGAGAAGGGGGGGGGGCGAGAGCAGAGAGCTGCATGCGCTGTCTGAGGGAGAATCACGTTCGATTATAAGGAATTTGCAGCTGGTAGCACTGGGCCCATGGGCTATCCAAGAGTGGATCCCAGTCTTTTTAAATCTGCCTCGTTTCCTTTAAGCACAGTAACCCCACAGGTGGTCCCGAGAAGCTAACCGATAAACAAAGCAGGTAAAAAAGGAATTCCAGATGCCTTGTATAATTTTACCTGCTGCTACATCAAATGTTTTGAGTGCAGCATATTGACTTTTCGAGAAGCCTCGGCGAGGGTTGATTCCTAAAAGTGAGACCTCTAATTGACGGAGTGATGTTTGTGATGTAATTTTTTTGTTATTTAATTGTTCGATGGTAGTGGTGTAAAACTCTTCGAAGTCCGGGCAAGACCGGAGCACACGCTCGCACGTTCGGGCCGCGCCTCGTCGGCATCTCATGAGACGTCGCTATAGAATGAGCACCACTCCTGGCTGGTGCCGCAAGTGCCGTGTGGAAATTGTAGTTAGATGGTCCCTAGGAGGGGAGATCTGGGACTATTATATAGTGACTGAAAGTCTAATGGGGTTAGCACATATCCCATCCCATAGCACCTTAGTTCTGGATTTGATTGGCCTGTTATATGATGGCGGGATATTGCAGGATTCTGCAATTGTATATGTAGTTCTACCGCTCCAAAGCCAGGTTATCAATTCGGGATTTAGTAGTTAAGTCTTTGTTCTGGGTCTTGTTGATGGCGCTTCTGATATGTAAGGTGTCTGAAAAAGTGTAAATTAGGAATATCGTTCATGGTTCCGATGTTTTGAAAAGTATTGACCCCATGAGCAGCTCCGGAAATTATTTTAATATTTGCATTGCTGCAGGAGAGGCAGTCCACACCACCTTTGTTATTTATGCAGATGCTTAGGTTCCCCCAGGTGGCCGAGTGGGGCTGGATGCTTGAGGCGGACACAGCATTGACATCTGAGCGATTCCTCACATCGTGCAGCTGGCTGACCAGTGGATTAAAGCGAGCGACTGTGTCCTTGGGGTAAGGAGATGATGGTTGGTCCTGCCAAGCCCCGTGGAGCTACTGATATCTCTACCTATTCCTTCCCAGTACCTCAAAGACTGCCTGGATTAATATAACGTTGTATAAGTGCTCCTATTTATCTTCTTGGTTCTTTCGGTAAAGTCACGTAGAAGGGAAATAATAAAATAATAAAAATAAAACATAATAAAATAATTCTCACGACGTTTCGGCTACAACGCAAGCAGCCGTCCTCAGGTGAAGAACAGGTCTGTCGGAAAGACAGTGTCTGAATGAATGAAGAACAGGTCTGTCGGAAAGACAGTGTCTGAATTCATTCAGAATTCATTCAGACACTGTCTTTCTGACAGACCTGTTCTTCACCTGAGGACGGCTGCTTGCGTTGTGGCCGAAACGTCGTGAGAATTATTTTATTATGTTTTATTTTTATTATTTTATTATTTCCCTTCTACGTGACTTTACCGAAAGAACCAAGAAGATGAATCCCTGCAGTCACGAAAGCTTTAAATCGAAATACTCCTATTTAGCCAGTTAATATTTACAGAAGTCTGGGATCGCAAGATCTCATTTTCCCTTCGCGGAGGATATAGTCTGGTAATCTATACTAACAAGTTTGTGGCCACAGATTAATGGAGAAATGTGCAAATTCTTGTTGGGATCATCAGAAAGTGGTAAAGAATATTGGGTAGAACCATCATTTTCAGGAGGTAAACTCAATTCAGAAGGGAAAAAAACGTATTCCAATCGAGGAAAGAAGCATTGATTTCTTGTCATACGAGGGGAAAGTTTGCCTGAAATTTTCTTTGGAAACGACGTCATGATAGTCAATGTGTGAGGGGGTTCCAATGGAAGGGGTGGATAAAGGCAGCAGGCTTGGCGAGCGTGAGGGACATCGCCTCTGATTTATCAATGAAGAATTTGTATCCTGAGGCCATTCCAAAAACCTCAATTCTCTGAAAAAGTGTTGGGATTGAGGTTTTGATTTCAGAGAGGGTCAGAGGGATATACTCTGCACGTAGCTTGATTTTATGCTCTCTTGCTCCAAATGCAATTTCTCAAATCTCTTTTGTGGTTGTAATCATTGCCGCAAGGGGTTAAATTGCATTTTCCAGTCTGGAAAATAATGTTCTTGTGGAATTGGAGGAGCCGCTGAAAGGCAAATTTGAATTTCAGACAAAGGGTGGTGATTTTCTCATTCAGGAGTCTGTCAAGTTTAACTTTGGTCTGGGTTATCTCCTCCTGGGTGACTGGCTTCTTAGAGGATGTACAGTAATTGTTGTCACGTAAACAGAACATGCTAATTCGTCACTAGTATAGCACACCGGTGTGTTGGAGAGCCAAGCCACAACATCTACAATCTGAGTATGACGTTTCACCAGTAATTACAACAAGCTTCATCAGGCGACAGCCAGAATGGTGGAGAAGTCCACCTGTTTCGTTCCTTATGTAGTGACTGTGATTGTCACTGTGTGGTGCCGGGCTTACGAAGCTACGGCGCATAATGTGCTGACATTATGTGTAGCTCGCCAACGGGGCGTAGTACCAGCCCTAGCGGGGCTTGGGTGAGCACTGGTCAGCGCGGAGGCACCGCGAGCAGTGTGCGGTGCGGGCTCCCGGTGAGGGAGCGTCAGCCAGCCAGGGTTACGTTGGGGCATAATACACTGGTTGACCTGCTGACACGTGACCGGATGATATTGGAGGGGGGCCACCGGTGGATGGGGGCCATTGGGCGGTCACGTAATATAAAAGAGCTCTCTGTGGCCTTCGAGAAAAGAGCTCGAGAGATCTGGAAGGTGAGCGGGGCGAAGGGCGGAGCCAGCACCAGCCCAGGGGGATAAAACGGGGCCCTGTGAGGAGCTCGGGGTTCTTCGTGTGCTGGTATGAAGATCCACGTCGGGAAGAAGAAGCCTCTAGCCACGCGGTCCGGGACCCCGTTTGTGGTCCGGGCCGGGATAGAGAACCGTGTCTAGTTCTGCCGTAGCATGGTTAAGATGGGCATTCGAGACCCGAGTGTAGATTGTGGAATGTTGTGTTAAAGTTGCGTAATAAATAGTGTTGCTCCCAAGATAACGTCTGCGACTAGTTGGACTCACTACACTTATATAGAGACGTAGATGTGACAACAACACAACTTCCTGCTTATCAAGCAAGGTTGTTACCATTAAAGGAGAGCTGACCTCCTGTTTACAACCTTGAGCCAGTAAGTGGACCACAAAATGTATGGCCCAGAGGTTGTTAATAATTCTGCAGGGTCAGCCTAAAGTTATAAATTCTAAAAAAAAATATCTCTCTAACCACTTATACATAATAGGTTCCCAACATTAGTGAATCAAGGGGTGTAATGCTGAAGCCAATACATATCAGGAAAGGTTGACCACGAGCATGTTGCAGAGCTCACCTTGAGGGCAAAACAGTATTCCGTAGGAGCTTTGTATTTCGTCCGGAAGTCTTGACCATAGTACACGCTCACGTGATCAAACTGAATGAAGCAGGACAGGTCACGCAATGTCTGAAAATCAAACACACGTGCAAAAAATATTAGATCCAATCACTGTATTAATCGCACAACTGGAATACTTTTGGAAGCCAACATTCCCACAACATCAATGTGATCGTCATAGTTGCTTTAATCCGCGTAATCTCCATAGACACATTTGCAACAACAAAAAATATTCCAGGATTCGTAATAGATTTTTGGATTAGGCCACGTAATGGCCTGACCAAATCTGCATCATACTAAACCCTCTCCCATCCAACACAACTGAAAGAAAAGGGCCAATTATCATTGTTTTAACTCACCGCTGAGTTTAAGAACAAGTCTTCTCAGGTACATTCAGCATGAGATACGCGGCGTTTAACTCGACACTACAATCCAGGAAGTATGATACTCCAACTTCCCAGACTGTTACTCTGACTTCCTGGATCTTGTCCTGATGATGCTTGATGCCGCACTCTTAAGCAGATAGTCTGACTCAACTGCTGCATTTGGTTGCGAGAATTGTTCTTCAACTTACTGGTAAAAGTTGAAAATATAATAAATGGTGCATTAAACACTTTGGCTGTGTCGGGTAGCAGAGGGTTTTTAGATACAGATTTGGGGCACCATGGTGGCGAGATGTTAACTACCTCACTTGGTATGCAGAAGTTCGTGGGTTCTATCCAAAGCCCTGACACTTGTATATTTGTAATTTGTGTGTCTCTCCCCATGATCGTGTGGATTTTTCTTTTGGTCTTCTGGTTTTCTCCTCCACATTTAGAATCAACATCATGTATTTAGAGGTTTTGGCTGCTGTAAATTTCCACGTGATAATCCACTTCTTTGAGCTATCATTTGGGATAGCCAGGTCACTTCTGAAAAAACAGCTATATAGCTCAGTGGGCCTCACTTGGTAAATAAAACAAACTTTATAGTTTTAGTTTAGTCAAATCATTACATTGCCTAACCCAAAACTCTTAGAGGAATCATATTACGGCTCCCTCTCGTTTTACGTGGGGCTTGTGCTCTTGAAAAATGGTGCGTAACTCAAAATCGTGTAAATTAAACAGAAATTTCCCATAACAAAAAAAGGAAATGGTTTGCAGTTAGGGAAAGCATGCTATCGAACCTCATTCTCACGTCTACATATTTCACTGGTTACAGTAACATATTATATTTACAACACAAGCATACATGTATTAAAGATAGCAACAGCCAATTTTAAGAAAATAATAATTAAGTAAACCAAAAATATTTTTAGCATGTAGTGAAGATGTTTACCGGAAATATTGGTAGGCAAATGTATGCAACACAAAGTTCATGCGGGACAAGATCTTAAAAATGGTGCGTGAGATACTGACTGATGCTGCTGCCCGTGCTTTGTGGTTGCCGTACTGCACCTCAGGACAGCATCGCGACTGAACTTTGCTGCCTAACGATGAGCTCGCAACGTGTTCCCCGTATACCGTGGCCCGATGCCCTGGAGCGCGTTATTTCCATAACAGTGCGCACGCAACAAAAATAAGTGTAAATTAATTGAATGCGCTATTTCAAAAATCTCGCTACGTTAAACGTGTGTAGATGCCTCCACGTAGGCCTCGGCAAGGTAAGGTAATTTACCTTTTTTACCGGGTAAAAGGGTAAAGGTAAAGGGTAAAGGTGTCGACATGCCAAGGGGTATGGTAAAGGGTAACAGGGTAAAGGTAGCTCGGAAGAATTACCCGGCAGGGTAAAGGTAGCGTGAAATATTACCCGGTAAATACGGTACCTTGTTTACCGCTAAAAGCTCCGTGGCGCAGTCCGTGGCCTACATTTAATAAGTAATATTAAAACAAACTTTATTAAAAACACGCTTTTATGAAACGTACGAGTAATGGCAGAACTCCACGACTCCAGGAAGTGGCCCCGAAGCTTTCCATAACGTAAGGGACCGTGGCCAATTACAGCAAACGTCATTTGATTGTGGACAATTAGACCCAAGCCGAAACATAAAATATAAAAAATGTTTAAAAACATATTTTTTATGATAGGATATAGTATTGTCATCAGTATGACCTAAGTATACCAAGTTTGCAGTCGATACCACATTAGGAAGTGGGTAAAAATTGAGTTTCAAGATTTGAGGATACAACAACAACAATAACAACAACGACAACAACAGTGTGAGTTAAAAGAAAGCGTGTAAAATTGGAATCATCGACAGTATTCTATTTGAATAAAGCGCTCTACCTAGCATTTACCGTTATAAACCTTGTTCATGTGTAGTAGTTGCCTAGTAATTACCCTGTAATCGGGTAATGTGTATGGGGTAAGGGTAAAAGGTAGGGTAAAGGTAAGCTCGTTGCTTTTTACCTTTTACCTTACCTGCTAAAGGGTAAAAGGTAGGGTAGAGTGATTGTATTGTTGTAAGGTAAAAGGTAGGGTAAAGGTAGGCTCGTTGTTTTTACCTTTTAACTTTTACCTTACCTTGCCGAGGCCTACCTCCACGGGTAGCACGATCTAAGGGCACGTGACTGGAAGCGTTGCTCGATTGGACGAGCTAAAGGGAATGTGTCCGGAAATGGGCCCGATTGGACGGGTAAGGACATGTGGCCTTGATACAGTAAGGGGCGGGGCCGGGGCCAAGGGATAAAGGGGGAGCGTAAGGGGAATTCGGGGTTCATTTTAGGGATCCAGATAACAGACACGCACATAGTGAGTAGCCTAACTAGAGTTAGCCACACTTAGTAACAGAACCCAGTTTACAGTAAAGTTGTTAATAAACGCATTGCCTCCAAGAACGGTGCGTGTGCACCTCAGTTACATACATTACACGTGCGTAAAACGTGAGGCGGCCATGCTGGCTTGGGGGTGGGGGGAACGGAACACAAATGTCACCCGAACTTCTGACTGACCAACCTTGGTCTTCCCCTTGGGTACGTAGTAGATGCCAGATGCTCGCAAAAGGAAGTAACGCTTCTTCCACGATTTCTTGCCATCCTCCTTCAGGTACAGCACTCCCTCCAGCTCTGGCACCGTCACAGTGGAGCCACAGAAACACTCCTGCAGCGTGACGCATGCGCAGAGTGACGATATGGCACGTCAAAACACGTTTTGAAATTATTGAAATTGAAGGTATGGAAAAAAAAATCTAATTGGAACAAAATATTCAGAACCTCCGCATTCACATAGTTTTTTTACTTACACTTCTTTTGAAAGCCTTATCAAAAATATGGATAGCATTTAACATGGACTTTGAATTCAAAAGGCAGTGATTTCCTGCTCAAATCAGGACCGAAGTAGCACTGATCTTTTTTCATAGCCTTGAGCTCGGAGTGGAAATTCCACATTCCTATGGTGGGTACGAGTCTATCCACAGGACAACCACATGGCAACACATTTTTTTGCACTTCCCCTCATCTCACTCTGTTGCTAAACTCCTGATGCACTCCCTCACTTTCCCTCACATCTACAACAACTCTTCTTCTCGGCTTCCTTGCCAACTACAGCTTCTTCGCTCCTCTCCAACAGATACAACATTCCTCAACAAGGATCATTTTAACCTGTGGCGCCACAGTGGCGAGATGTTAACTACCTCGCCTGGTATACAGGAGGTTGTGGGTTCGATCCGGACCCCGACGCCTGTATAATTGGCATTTGCATGTTCTCCCCGTGATCACGTGGATTTTTCACTGGGTTCTCCGGTTTTTCCCTCCACAATAACATGCAGTTTAGAGTATTTGGCTGCTTTAAATTTCCACGTGATCATTTGTGGCTAGGTCCCTTCTGAAAAGAGCTATTACAGCTCAGTTGGCCTTACCTGGTAAAATAAAAATATTTTATAGTTTAACCCGCCCTACAATTGTTACAGTTCTGCTATACGACTTTCTTAACTCAGCTGGCTCCCTGTCTACTATTGCTGTCCGTTTAAATGTCTCACTCTAGTCGATAAATCTCTCCATGGTCTTGCCTGACCTCTCATCTCTCACTACTCTATCCCATCCTGTCCTCTACGCTCACCATCTCTACCATCCCTCTCTGTGCCTCCCTCACTAGCCTGCACCCAGTCACGCTCTCTCGCTCAAGTTCAATGGAACCAACTCCCACTGCACATAAAACGATCATCTTCACTCACCTGCTTCCACTCCTCCCTTAAAACAACCCCCATCTCTTCTCCCCCAGCCCATCATCCTGCTACTGCTACTCCCTGCCCCCCAACTTCGACCAGGCCTACCCGTATCACTACACCAACCACTATCACTATCCCTACCCCTTCTTAACCCCTTGCGCCTGCTCTCCTGTCACTATAACTACACCACGACTTTTAATAATACCTCTTTATCTCAACCACTTTCATCTTATATACAATGTTATAGTTTCTGGAAAGAAGCCTTCAACATGCCACAACGAGCAGCGAACGCTCCACAACGAGCAGCGAACGCGCTTCCGCTGGACCACGTCACCGCCCATGCAGACGTCCGATGACCTTACCTCCAGCAGAGCCTCCTTATTGCGATCTGCCATCTCACTCGTTTCATTTGTGCCCAGAAGGTAGTTCTAGATAAAGAGCAGTGAAGCATCAAAATCATAAATCTCGCATAAAATCAGTTATTCATTATTTGCTATCGTGTTACGTGTTTACCCAGTAAAGCCTCAATGAGTCTCAAGACAATTTTTTAGGAGGATCGCGCCAAGTTTTTGTTGCAAGAACGGGGCGATGTTGCTGCTGCGTCTTAATCCCAATGGAGTAATTGTTGGTAATTTTTCAGCATAGGAATGTTTGGCCAATGCCAGTTAAGATTATTTTTTTACTCTCATAAGAAATCAGAGAACCCAGAGTAAACCCGTGCCTGAACAGGAGTTGAATATACAGGGGCGCCGTGGTGGCTAGATGTTAACTCCCTCGCCTGGTATGCAAGAGGTTCTATCCGGACCCCAACGCCTGTATATTTGGAGTTTGCATGTTCTCTCCCTGGTCGCATGGATTTTTCTCCAGGTCTTCCCTTCAAATGTAGAATCAATGTACGTTCAGAGTATTTGATTGTAATAAATTTCCACATGACAAGCCACTTCATTGAGCTATCAATTGTGGCCTAGGTTGCATCTGAAAAAGAGCTATATAGCTTAGCGAGCCCTACCTGGTAAAATCAAAAATAGTTTTTATCGTTTAGTTTAGATTATACAAACTCCACACAGAAAGGGTCCGAGTTGATAAATCAAATCAATGCCCTTCTTTATGTGAGGCATGGTTACAATAGAACCCCAGAGATCGAACACACCAGAACTCGAACAAATCGGTGTTCGAACGATATTTCCGAACATTTTTTGCCCCGGAAACCAAACGAAATTCGGAGGTCAAACGGGCAATCGCGACTTGAAAGAACCTGTACGGCTGAGATGCATATGGCCAGCATGCATGACGCTTGCCCAGACAAAGGTTTTACCACCTCTTCCTCCTCACCACCTTCCACTCAAGACATCAACTCTCTTTACTACAGGTAAAGTGAAGTTCAATGTTCATTTATTTCATTTGTTCCATATATTTATTCATTTATTCCATTTATTTATTGTGTTTCTGTATAATTGTATGCATGTAATTACTGTAAACTTCTTGTAAAAATGCTTTATAATGAGATATTTCTTGTGTCTCGATAAATTAATGTCATTTACATTTATTCTTATGGTAAAAATGAATTCGATGTTCGAACAAATCGGTGTTCGAATGGACTTCTGGAACGAATTAAGTTCGACCTCTGGGGTACCACTGTATTGCCATTGTGCCCCCTGCTGCCAAATAAATAAATATCCTATACCACTCTGGATGGATCAAAGGTGAAATATCATTTTTCCCTCAAAGCCAGCTCTCAGCTGGCATTTGAGAGTTGTTTGGACGTACATGTGGGGTCCAGCATGGCCCATTTGCTGTGAGGCCAAGCCCCACGAACCCATTACACTAGATCCAATTGACCACTAAACACAGCAACAATAAGCATTGCGGTCGAGAAGATAAGCAACACGATAAATAAGCAGACAATTTACCTCCTTCCCATATATGTCCCTCCGCATGAAAAACACGTTAGGTGCCCATCAAGCACATGGCCTTCGGTGTTGAAACGCTCCTAAAATTAAGCATTTCCTCGAAGGCTGGTGTGACTAATGAAATGACTAAAAAAATAATTTCGTGTGCACAGACAGATGTATGTATATGTACGAATGGTGACCTTCTTTCGCACCGTACGTAGCCAAATGTGCTCATTGGAGGTGCAGGGGAAGGACAACAAACTCCACGCAAAAAGCAGTTATAAATAAATGAGTTTTCAATGTAGATTTAAAAGTGCATAGCTCCAGTGGCTTCCTAATATCGGGAAAAAAGAGCGTTCCAGACAGCGGCAGAAGTGCATCTGAAAGCGAGCGATGCAGTAACCATCTTTTTTTATGGTTATCCAAAAGCTGCTGCGAGCATTACCGGAGTTCGAGTGATGGTTTATGCTCCTTGACGAGATCAGCAAGGTAGTGTGGTTCATTTGTGGCAAGCACTTTGTGTGTAATGAGTGCGATCTTATAATGTATTTGTTCAGCAACCGGAAGCCAATGCAGCTCGATGAGCACTACCATCACGACACGTGCCAAAATTTTTTATACATGCTACAGCTTGGTAATGTTTTGCCAGACGTCCCGTAGAGTCGTGACAATAACCGAGCCTTGTCGATACTACGCTACACACCACCGTGTTGTCTATGTCATGATTCAATCGTGATCGAATGTGTTGTGAAGTTCCGATAAGAAATTTGCAGGACCTAACTATATTTTGCACGTGGTGATAAAACGACATTCTGGTAGAGTATGGTGCCGAGGCTCTTGAGAGGAGTAGAAAACTGAATCCTGGAGTCTGTGACCGCTATACCTGATACTCCCACAAATGTTTTTGCCTGAGCGCAGCATTTCGTTTCGTGCAAACCACACATGCACTGCTTGCATGTGATCTTTGAGGTTACCGAGGCTCTCCATATCTAACTTTGACTTCACTGCGATGTACAATTGTGTATCATCAGCATATTTCTGCCATATAATAGATCAACAGGATACATTCATGTTCACACTGAACCAGCACAAGGTGTGAAGATTCACTGACTCTCTTTGGGCACAATGCATGTGTGTGCCATTGGTACCTAATGCGTGCGCCTTACCTGCGGGTTTTTAAAGATGGCGTACTTTTCCTTGCGTGCCACAAACATGAGCATATTGGGGCTGTCCCGTGTCCAGTTCAGCAGGTTCTCCACCAGATTCTCGCTGTCTTCAAAAAAGCGCTCTGTAAAGCAGCACAGCAGTCCAAGGAGCCACAGCGGAAATCAGTACCACCTGGTAGCAGCAACGTTTTTGGTCATACCAATGTATTGTGAAGCTAAGAGTAAATTATTTGATAAGCTGCTCATTTCAAATGGTTGTCACGCAATTTACTTCTGTTGGCCACAGACAGTTACAGCCACCTCAGTTTGCACTGATAAGTGAAATATCTGGCTCATTATCGATGCAACCCAGAACGTACTGGTAACGTTATTTGTGTGCATGTATTTGCGGGTGCCTATGTACGCATTGTTTTATCATCGACTCCAAATATATTTTTGGGAATGTCTTGCAATTAATAAAAACAGGTCCCTGCGGGGTGGGCTGGTAGGAACGAATAACCAAAGAATATAAACATAATGTATTATTACACTTGTTTAGCCAGGAAAGCCTCACTGAGTCTAAAGGTTTTTGTAGGGTCCTGCCAAGTGTTTGCAGTAGGGGGCGATGTTGCTACACCTAATCGGACGATACGAAGGGAGAGTTTGAGGCCTAGTTCTAGGCTTTAGGCCTAGCTGAAGGCTTTAGGCCGCTGCGAGTTAATTTTTAATTTAAATGTTTTAATTATTAATGTAAAAGCTTTAAATTAAAATGTTTTTATTTAAAAACATCAGGGAATGAAACATTATTAAACATTAACTCCCTTTCACACACGCGGGGGTACGATACGAAGGGAGAGTTTGAGGCCTAGTTCTAGGCTTTAGGCCTAGCTGTAGGCTTTAGGCCGCTGTGAGTTAATTTTTAACTTAAATGTTTTAATTAAAAGCTATCTCAGGGAATTATAAGGGAATGTTACACTTGTTTAGCCAGGAAAGCCTCATTAATTTAAATGTTTTAATTAAAAGCTATCTCAGGGAATTATAAGGGAATGTTACACTTGTTTAGCCAGGAAAGCCTCACTGAATCTAAAGGTTTTTGTAGGGTCATGCCAAGTATTTGCAGTAGGGGGCGATGTTGCTACACCTAATCGGACATCGGACGGACGGACGATATAATCTATTGTAGGCTGGTTCACTTCGTTCCTACCAGTATAAACGCCCAACTATATCTGTGATGAATATGATGAACGCTGCACTTCCCGTCGTTTTCATGCAGGGGGCGCTGCAAACCTACGCGCCCGTGCATGAACGACGGAGGCGCAGGGACAGATGTTCGATTACATTGGAATCGATCTGCAGACGGCGGTCTTCTCACACGGCCAGCAGCTCTATGTCGCCTTATCTCGATCCCGCAATCCCAAACAGGTGAAAGTCCGCATCAAACCGAACCGCCAGCAAGGACAACTACTTAACGACGAGAGAAAATTCACACGAAATGTCGTTTTCAATTAAGTCTTCCAGATGTAAAATGATAGTTATATATAAACAACTTTCTCTATATGTCTATGATGAATATGATGAACGCTTAAGAGAGAGAGAAACGAGGCGGTTCGGTGTTGATTCCCAGAATCGACTTGGCCCCCACCGACCCGACTTTGCCATTTGTTTTGCGACGATGACAATTTTCCATTTTCCCCACATACACTATCACAATCAACAAGTCGCAGGGACAAACGTTCCATTACGTTGGTAAGCGCACAACTTTATCTATCTTTCTATGATGAATACTATAGTTATATTTAGAGTATCGCCACATAGCTGAAGACATTTGTAAACAATACGGGCATTGCAATATCCCTGTGTATATCCCACAATGGACAGGCTTTCAGCTGTTTCTTGGAGTACCATGGAGGCTTATGCTCAAGTCTGGAAAATCTCCCGATGATGCTGGATGGAATTACAAGCGAAATGTCGTACTAAAATTGTAAATGTTGTGGGTTTACTCTCCAAAACACCGGTGTGCTGAACTAGTAAATAATTGTCACGTTTTGTTTATGTGACAAACATTACTAATTGGCTGTGTCGGGTGGTCACGGGTTCTGACACGTGTCGATATAACCCAAAATTTTTAATTAAAAATACTGGTCGCAAAAGCCGACGTATCAAACTGATCTTTGTTTACATTTGGTCAGTCAATGAGAGCGACATACGCTCTGAGCCAAAGCGCACCCCACTCCCCCCACGACTAGCTTATCATGGTCACGATTACATTTTTTACGTCAATTTTTTCTTTCTTTTAAGAATGTATTATTCAATGTTATCACGGTATAAGCTCAAGAGCCACACAGAGCTCGCCAGTTTTTAAGAAAACACGCCCCGCCCACCGTCATTATTACTCCACCTCGGTCTCTCTTGCTCTGCCTTAGTTCCGTGTGCTTTTGTGAGCATTTTAGACCCATAATAATGCGTGGGGGAAATGCCTGCAAGTGTGTTAGTGCCGGAAATGAGACCAAAGCGTAAAGTACAGTTTAACTTTGGATGTTAAAATGCAAGCAAATGAGGTGGGTCAAGGCAGCAAGTGGCAGGTGGATTGTGCTTCGTGAGTGCCAGGTGGATTGTGCGTCGTGAGCGCCAGGGGGATTGTGCGTCGTGAGCGTCAGGGGGATTGAACACAGTTTGCATGAGATTAAACAGTCAGTGTCCGGTAGACAAAGCACTCAACGTGGGTGGAACGAATGAATGAGTGAGAATATCACAGGAACAGTAACCACGGTAGTACCGATATATGAGTGATAAAGAGGAAACTGATCATCTGTGAGAGAGTGATCAGAGTTGTGAATCGGTGAGTGCTGTGTACCCATGTGTAATTCTGGAATGACTTCAACCAGGGACCAGTCCGGACTGCCGTCCGTGTGGGACTTCTCCGCCAGGCTGTCGAGGACTTGCCGCACCGTCTGACGTTCATCCACCATCATCGTCTTTGAGCTGCTATCCGTTAAATGAATGCGAACCACCAGCTGCCAACACACGCAAACAGCAAGAGACGGAACATGCAGCGTCACAATCACACATGTATGCCAGATAGAGACAAACAGATTTAGAACAGCGGTGTAGAGAAACACGGGGTTAACCTCCACACATTTTCAGATGACACGCATCCCTTCCACCTCTATCTGCCCGCCCCCCCCGCCCTTCTTCCACTGCCGCAGTCTCCGTGCTCTCAATCCTTCCTGGCTAATCTCCTTTCAGTTCTCAGCCTTCCTTCCCAGACTATTCCTCTCTTCACGATGACGCTGCCACTTCTACTCATGCGTTGACTCTCCCTTCCTCTCCCAGCACCCTCTCGCTGCTCTGCGTTCCCCACTTACCCCCCCCCCCCCCCGTGGCCCTCTATTCATGGCTTTCTGCCCCCCTCAAAGCCGAGCGCTGCTGGAAAACCTCCCACACTCAGCCCAGACCCTCGCAGCAAACCTGTTTTCAATTTTTTTTGCAGATCTTGAATCTGCAACACTGCACAATGTCCTTTCTCCCTTGCCCATCATCAACTCTTTGCCAACATCAACAACTTGCACCATCCCTCTGATTCTACCGGATCGTTTCCTCCCAATACCCAATGCTCTCTTCTGCTCTGGCCTTCCCCCCACCATTTCTCCTCTAAGGTTGAGCACATTCAGTCGTCCATTCTGCCTATCACTGCTCCATCTTCTTCACTTTCCTCTCCTCGCATCACTGCACCCCCACTCTCCACGTCCACCCCGACATATTCATCGGAGCTCTCCACAGCCATTTACAAAACTCACCCCCTATCTCTTCACCCCTTAAGCCCATTCCTGCCTCCCTTCTTCCTTTCCTCCTCCCCGTATCCTTCCCTACCTCGTGTCCCTCTTCAATTTCCCCCTCTCCAGTGGTGTCTTCCTCCTCAAACTTAAAATCTGCCGTTATTTTTCTTCTCAAAAAACCTTCCCTTGACCCCAATATTCCCGGCAACTATTACCCTATTTCTTTGACTTACTTCGCAACAATTCTTGAACGTCTTGTTCATAACCGGCTCTCCCACCGCATATCTTCACATTCCCTATATCCTCAATTTCAGTCTGGTTTCCACCCTTTTTTATTCCACTAAAACAGCCCTTCTCAATGTACAGAACCATCTTGCAAATTATTTTCTCCCATGCATCATTATTCTTGACCTTTCCTCCACCTTTGACACTGTTGATCACCCCACTCTAAAACTAAACTATTTTTTTTTACCAGGTAAGGTCTACTGAGCTATGTACAGTGAGGGAAAAAAGTATTTGATCCCCTGCTGATTTTGTACGTTTGCCCACTGAAAAAGAAATGATCAGTCTATAATTTTAATGGTAGGTTTATTTGAAGTGAGAGATAGAATAACAAAAAAATCCAAAAAAACGCATGTCAAAATGTAATAAATTGATTTGCATTTTAATGAGGGAAATGAGTATTTGACCCCTCTGCAAAACATGACTTAGTACTTGGTGGCAAAACCATTGTTGGCAATCACAGAGGTCAGTTGTCTTCTGAATCATTCAGATGTCCTTTGGCAAACTTCAGACGGGCATGTATATGTGCTTTCTTGAGCAGGGGGTCCTTGCAGGCAGCTAAAGGATTTCAGTCCTTCACGGCGTAGTGTGTTACCAACTGTTTTCTTAGTGACTATGGTCCCAGCTGCCTTGAGATCATTGACAAGATCCTCCCGTTTAGTTCTGGGCTGATTCCTCACCGTTCTCATGATCATTGCAACTCCACAAGGTGAGATCTTGCATGGAGCCCCAGGCCGAGGGAGATTGACAGTTCTTTTGTGTTTCTTCCATTTGCGAATAATCACACCAACTGTTGTCACCTTCTCACCAAGCTGCTTGGCGATGGTCTTGTAGCCCATTCCAGCCTTGTGTAAGTCTACAATCTTGTCCCTGACATCCTTGGAGCTCTTTGGTCTTGGCCATGGTGGAGAGTTTGGAATCTGATTGATTGATTTCTTCTGTGAACAGGTGTCTTTTATACAGATAACAAACTAAGATTAGGAGAACTCCCTTTAAGAGTGTGCTCCTAATCTCAGCTCGTTACCTGTATAAAAGACACCTGGGAGCCAGAAATCTTTCTGATTGAGAGTGGGTCAAATACTTATTTCCCTCGTTAAAATGCAAATCAATTTATAAAATTTTTGACATGCGTTTTTCTGGATTTTGTTGTTATTCTGTCTCTCACTGTTTAAATAAACCTACTATTAAAATTATAGACTGATCATTTCTTTGTCAGTGGGCAAATGTACAAAATCAGCAGGGGATCAAATACTTTTTTCCCTCACTGTAGCTCTGTTTCCGAAGTGACTTGGCCACAAATGTTCGCTTAACGAAGTCCCTCATTACGTGGAAAATTATAGTAGCCAAATAACTCTACATATATGTTTCTAAACGTCAAGGGAAAAACGAGAGGATCTGTAGAAAAATCCACATGACCATGGGGAAAACGTGCAAACTCCAAATATACAGGCATCAGGGTCAGGATCAAATCCACGACCCCTGCATACCAGGCGAGGAAGTTAACATCTCCCTTCTGTAGCGCCCACTCTTATTTCCACTCTTCTACCTCGGCATTTCTGGAAACCCTCTCTTGGCTCAAGTCTCACCTTCCCGCTCGCACATCCTCAGTCCCCTGAAATCACTCCGTTTCCGCTCACTCCCATCTCAATGTCCGGTGTTCTGCCGGGTTTTGTTCTGTGTCCCTTCTATTATCTGCATAGTCGGTCTCTTAAATCTGTTATATCCTCTTTCCGCTTTCCTCGTCATTTCTATGCTGATACCACAATTTTCTTCTTTCCTTAATTTATCCATGACCTTTCCTCTCCTATCACATCCCATCTGGCTGCCATCCAATCCTGCATAGCGCAACACTCTATCGTCCCAATCCTTCCATTCTCTTTCTTGCCTCTCACTCTCCTCCTCCCCCACCAACCCATCTCCTTCCCTACTCTCTTTCTCACTCCCCATTCCTCTGCTCTCGACGTTGACATCACCTTTGACCTTTCCCACACTTTACATACCCACATCTCCACCGCTACTTGCATCTGCCACGTTCATCTATTCAACAGGAGGAACATCCGCCCTCTGGTTTTAATTTCTGCTGCCAAACTTCTGGTTCATTCTCTGATCTTTAACTGTCTGGACTATGATTGTAATACTCTTATGTTTGGTCACCCTGCCTTTACCCTCACTCCCCTCCAAAAAATAGAGAAATGCTTCTGCAAGATTCATTTTCAATCTTCTCTTTAATTATCACGCCTCGCCTCTCCTGCTTCAACTCCCCCAGCTTCTCATTCACTACAACGCTGTCTTTACAAATCCCTGACACTTTTCTTACAATCGCTTCATGGCTAAGCCCCACATCATCATCCCGCCACTCTGATCTCCTTCTGTCCCCTCTCGTCCTCTTCGTTCATAGACATCTCTATGTCGCTCTCTGTCCCTCTATCTCCCTGTACCCAATCCCGTTTTTGGTTCTCAGTCTTTGCACCCCTCCACCAGAATCAACTTCCTCTTGTCCATTAAGCAGTCCTTCTCAACCTCTCTTAAAGCATCACCTCTTCTCAATTGTCCATTCTCTTCCTTTGCCCTCCTCTCGCCCCTCCAGTTCTTCCCGTCCCTCCCCTAAAATTTCATGATCCCCAAGTACCCCTCTATCGCTGCACTCATTCCTCAACCCAAGTACACCCCTGTCAACTACATCATTCCATTCTGCCATCGTTTTCTAAGTTATGTCGAGCACTTTGAGTGAAGGCGCTCTGTAAATATAAGTTAAATTAGATTATATCCAAGTGCATGAAAATAACACTAACTTTTACTTTCAGCTGGCTGCTAAAACTCTTGAATGCGGCCCGCAATAAAGTGCAGCAAACAGAGCGAGGCTTATGGGAAGATCGCAGAGGGGGACAGTGCTCACCCCCAATACTCTATTAATTACCTGTGACCCTAACGGGCATTACTAATTGTTAATATTAGCCAAGTGACCAGTGGGTAGGAGCCTGGATGTCGAAATATCATCTTCAGAGACCGTTCTCCACCATGAAGCCTCAGATATATAATAGGCCAATGTGCGCACACTCCACTATGACAATCCACTGTTAGCATGTAAGCACACCACTATCAAATTGTAAGCACACGCATACCTTTTTGATTTGAGCCTCCTTGATTTTCTCTAGAGCCATTTTGATCTTCTCAGCTTTGAGTTTGGCTTCCTGTTCCTCCTACAAAAGAGGACAATCCCATACCACATTAGTTTACACTAGGCAACTTCCCTTCTGTGACAACGTTAGTCAACCAGGAAGGGGTCTGTTAACAAAGTCTTAGAAGTTTAAGTATATGTATAAGAATTTAATCATTTGTTGTTTTTGCATGTTGTTTTTGTTGTCCTTCCCCCGCACCTCCAATAAGAACGGTTGGCTACATATGGTATGAAAGAAGTTCAACATACATACGAATGCTCGCAGCCTTCCATCAATGCAACAGCGTAGATACGACCATTCATAGTTTTGTAGTAATCTTCATAACAGAGAACGCATCATGGGTTATTACTGAAGATGGACCAATAGCAAATTAATGAAAGGAGATATGGGTGAGAGCTGGTTAAAATTATTTAGAAACATTTATTTGATAATGAAAAGCAACACGACAATGTTTATTATGATAAAAGTTGTAAATCTGTGCATATTGGTGACTATGACACCTGGGACAGAACCTGGCCAATGACAAACAAGAGTGAAAAGTACACAAACAAGTATGGAAATGTGCAAGTTGGGAACTGCACCGAGAGACAAAACTCATAGATCAGAGAACAAACTCGTTACGTTGACTTCTAAGAAGTGTGCATGGACAGAACACGTCACTAAAATAATGGCCAATGGACAAGGCTGGAGACAGAATGGCAGCTAAACGAGGGAAAACACGTCCAAGAGGATGAACCAAAAAATAATAGGATTCCATTGGCAGTTTTATTTTGGTTTTGAGTGAACAGCCGTACTCACAGAGGTCTTGCCCATGTATTTACAAGTGGCAGCAGTGTAGAGAGCTTACTTTTGTTTTGGATGATCAACTCCCATTATAACCTACAAGATATAATTAATCATATAATTAAACTTGCCAACTTTGATTGGCTTTTGGAATGTTGCAATGAAATGGCAATGCAATGAGTTATTTATTTACAACATGGAAGTTACAATCTCACAACGCTGAACACGTTTTGACGTGCTCAGCTTTCTAACAAGAGGCATAGGAAAGTACAAATGGGTAGGCAGCCAGAAACTGGCACCAACAATTAGTCCAAGCTCCGTGGTCTGCCAATAGGGGGCGATAGTTGCTGTGTACAGGGACTCCTCTACTTACGAACGAGTTAAGATTCCTGGTCTTCTCTTAAGTCGATTTGTCAATTCTAAACATGCTGTAGGCGTGTACACTAAACATGGGGAATGGCTTTAAAAGTTGTGTACTCTCCTGTATATGAAGATGCCAATGGTTCTTCATGTTCTGCAGATGTAGATGCCACCACCGCCATCTATTGCGCAGCGGTTGAATTTATGACTCTCGATCCGAACAGGCAATTGGACATACGCGCAAACCTGTCCGTATCTCTGAAAGTTCACAAGTCGAATGTTCGTAAGTAGAGTAGCCGCTTTAACACCCAAATGAGTTGTTTAGAAAGTATTTTTTTGACACAAGTACATGTGGTTACTGCAGACTTGATACCTTGCAAAAGGAATCTATTTGGTGTTTGAACCTCTTAACACCTGTTGTATTGCCAGAAAGGGGTAAAACTTATTACTATTTTGCAACATTTTTGATACTCCCAAAAAAGGTCCCATAGATAAAAAATAAATATTTGGCAAATTTAGACCATGACGCAGGCACACAATGGCCTACTCTTCACAAATTACATTATGGGATATATTTAATGTGGTATATTTAATATCCCTGTGTGAAAGCAGATGGCGTGCATGTTATGGTTCATACACCTGCAGTAATGAACAGGGCAACCACTGCAATGCACCTCTGAACATCTGCAAAAAGCAGCAAATGTGCTCCCGCTAGGCCATGAGACTACCCCAAAACAACAGGTTTGTGCATTTCAAATATAGTGTCCAATGTTTACATGTACATTTCTCACAAAATGTATTTTCACCAATATTTTACATTGAACAATATTAGCCAAAATGGTGCGGAAACCATTGTGCTAAGGATACTTGGGCATTGTACACACTTACATGATGAGATTTCAGCACTCCATCTCCTCACTGGCGACATAATGCTTGACCATTGGCTATCACCCCTTCTCGGGCAGTGTCCTGCCAAACCCACTTACCTTTTAATTAAGTTTGGATGTCATTAACCTGCGGATGCTCTCTATGCCATGTGTTCTCCTCTTTAGATATCTCCAAACTTCTTACAGTATATTTCAGTTTTCGTTCGATCATTTTCATTAATAGCCGCACGAATGAGTTAAGCCATAGCGCGCAAAATGTCCAAACTGAATGTATGTTGAACTACTTTCACACCATACGTAGCCAACCGTGATAATCGGAGGTGTGGGGGAAGGGCAACAAACTAAACACAAAAATAATATTCTAAAGAAATTAGTTTTCAATTTAGATGTAATAGTGCTTAGCTCCAGTGGCTTCCTAATATCGGAAGAGCGTTTCAGACGGCTGCAGAAGTGCATCTGAAAGCAAGCGATGCAGTGGACATCTTTGTTCGATGATTAGCCAAAAGCTGCTGCGAGGATAATCGAAGTTTGCACGAGGGTTTATGCTCCTTGACGAAATTAGAAAGGTGTTGTGGTTCATTTGTAGCAAGTACTTTGTGTGGTATAATGAGTGCAACCTTATAATATGAACTAATTTTATGCTCCAGGCATTTTTATTATTTGCTTAGTAAATCAAAAATCCCCTATCTGCTGCCCTGGATAAAAACAAACAAATAATCCAGATAAACAATACCGTACATAGGTAAACAATACATAGATATATTAGCTGGATTAAAATGTTTTAGCATTATTCATGTTCTTGTTTCATCCAGACCAGTGGACTGCACGAATGAATAAAAAATCTCTACACACAAATGCAGCAATTGAACAGGGCCATTGAATGCATGTCACGAAGCGGTGACAAGACAGAGCATGTGCAAGTATACAATCGTGTTCGTGTTGGCATTTGTTAATATTTTTTGTAAAGGAAAGTTAGTAAAGCATAGACATAGAGGTGGTGGGCGAGTGGCAGAATCATGCAACACCAATGGGGGGCGCAACTGGGATCAGCAGTCACCTGTGTCAGCAAGTGGTTGGGTTTTCCCGCCAGGTTTCGCACAAGCACTGAGGTCCTCCTATCCAGATACGGGTGCTTGGGTGTGCGCGAAACACGAGAGGAAGAGAAGGCGAAGCGAAGGGGTGCACAATGGGCAAAGAGGCTTCACGTTATCAGCCACGGCATGCAGGGTGCCCCGTCCACGCGCAACAGCATTCTCAACCCACCACCACCACCACCAGCACCACCACCAGCACAACCAGCACCACCACCAGCACCACCAACCACCACCAACCACTAGCACCACCACCACCCGGCCGGCTCTTTACGTGTTACACCGAGTGACACCGTTTAACCGATGTGACGTCGCTTCACGGTAACACCAGCACAATAGCAAGGGTGAATATTTATTTATTGTTTATTATTGTTGTTTACCCAGGAAAGCCTCACTAAGTTTCACGATTCCTTTTCAAGAGGGTCCTGCCAAATGTCCACACCTTGATTAGGACGGTTGGCTAAGTGTGATCTGCAAAAGAAGTTGAATGTACATACGTACATACTCCTGTGTACATTTCAATTAAGTAATTAGCAGGTTTTTTTTACTCTGGAAAATTTAAGTCGTGACGCCAGCACACAATGGAACGTCGCAAGATCGTTAACGTCCACTGTGAACCAGCTGGGGTGCATTATGGTCAATATTCACTGTAGTATTTAACAGGATTGCAACACCATGAACGCCTGCAACGGTGATTGCCCTTACACTAGGCCAGGGGTCGGCAACCTACGGCTCCGGAGCCGCATGCGGCTCTTTACGGGCTGCTTCTTGACGATATGTACGTGAGTACAGTATGTACTCAGATGCATTGCGGCTCTTGAAATACTGAATTTTGTACCGAATTGGAAAGAAATGGCTCTTCTTGTTATTTTGGTTGCCGACCCCTGCACTAGGCCATGTGGCTGCTCAATAATAAATATTGCTCTTGGTGATGCTTGGTAGAAATGGGGGAAATAAACCATTTTGATAACCAATGCAATGATGTCATTGTTATCATTTAACTAAGAATGCAGAGGGGCTTCAACACTTGGAGCATGCAAGCAAACAAGGTTGAGAACCAGCACCCAGCAAAACCTACAACAGAAGTAAGAACAATCACAGCAACATTATGGCTTAAGACCCCACATGAGATACACATTGCTGCACAAGTGGCAGCGCCCGAGATTTATTTGGTTGGTCACGATCACGAAAGACACCGCTCAGCATCCTCTTCTGAAGCATTTGTTAGGGGCACAGGCTTCAACTACTTCCGCATCACAAGGCCCAAACCACATCCTGACTAAAATTCTAGAAATTTGGAAACACCCTTCTGCCTTCTCTTTCGAATGAGAAGAAGACTTCTGACTTGATCCTGCTCATCTCTCTGGCCACTTAACCAAGAGTGCAATTTCTCCATCATCATATTCTTACCAGAGTTTATCCACAGTGTTTGATGCTACAAATATCCAATGCTGTACTGTTTAGGCTCACCAATGATCATGCTGCACTTACCTGATGAGCATATAGGCAAAGCATCGCTCCAGTCTAAATAAAGATTCTGATTATGATGCAATATCTGTGTCTGGACCTGATTGTTAATCTGGGGACTTCCTTGTTGATGCATTTATACAAAGGTCATTAATTTGCCTGGCACCCATTCTTCCCTTCTCTACGTAGACAGAGCTTTCTTCCCCAACGTTAACCATCACCTTATGATGCCGCATTGGATTGTGCAACTCGGTTTATCTGAATGTCCTCTGAGATGGTGTGATTGTTGGTGGTTAACAACAGCTGTTCCTCTCCCAGTCCCCAGCTCAATAAAACACATCAACGTTTTGAACATTGCAGCTGTTGATGAGGAAAATGGCAACAAGTAAACACATTTTAAGCGATTAAAAAAATTATGGGTTCGGCCATGTAATCGTCAAGCACAGTTTCAGCCATCAGACGCAGCCAAACCAATTTAACAGTCACGTGCACAAGTGGTTTAACGATGCACCAATTACGATCATTACGGCGCACCCACGGGCAAGTTGGAAAACAATCCTCACAGCCAAACCACAGCGATTAGAGATGGGACGTATTTGCTTGGTATTGCACCCAGCATCTTGAGTACGGCACCGAGGAAGCGGGAGGGCGCCGACGCGTCATACTGGGAGGCGGCCGACGCATCACACTGGGAGGGAGCCGATATGTCGCGCTGGGAGGGGGCCAACGCGCCACGCTGCTGGGCGACGTCGCGCCATTACCTCATTGACAGGCGTCGTCATGGAGGCCTGCTGGGAGAGGTCGGACTCGCGTGAGCGTGACCGCTCCGAGTCCTGGCTGGAGGCAAGCGAGGCGAGGCTGGAGCGAGACGATGTCGAGTCGGAGCTGACGTCGCCCGATTTGGACTCCTGGGCGACTCTGTCCGTGGGGGCAGGCTGCTGCTGAGGAGGGTGTATAACCGCCGGCTGGGCAGCTACGGACGCAGCGGCCTCCTCGATGCTGAGGGAAGCCTGCTCCAGCTGCGCCGTCAATTCCTCCAGCGATAGCTGTGCTTGGTCGCAGGCGTTGACCTTGGCGTGAGACTTCGCCGAAGCCGGCTTGACCCGCACACCCGCTGCTACGGGTGCAGGGATAGCCCTGACCGGCTCCGGTGCTGCAGGAGGCTTAGGAGCAGCAGCAGGCTGCTCTTTGGTGATGTTCTCCAGCTCCTGGCCCATGGAGCACAGGTCAGCCATCAGAGCGTCGAGGTCCACTTCCTCTCCCTGGTTCAATGCCTCTGGAGAGGACACGCAAGGGGGGTGCGTCAACACGGATCTGTGTTTTTAAAACACGTTGATTTTTTTTCACAACCAGTGCTATGACTTATGATTGGCGGTGCCTATGTGTGTCACACTGCCTGCTCAATGCTACACAGCCAAAAAACGTAAGTTGTCAAGAAAACAAACGTCCAAGCTATTCTTCAGAGGGAGTTTGGGCTTAGATCGTGTAAATCTCAATGCATCATTGAACCCACCACTACCCGACAGAGCAAATGAGTAAGGTTTGTACCATAAAAAAAACATACCAATTAGTTACGAGTGAAGCACACCAGGGTTGAGTGGGTGAGTGTGTTGAAGGGTTGAGTGGGTGAGTGTGTTGGAGGGTAGAGTGGGTGAGTGTGTTGAAAGGTTGAGTGGGTGAGTGTTGAGGGGTAGAGTGGGTGATTGTGTTGGAGGGTAAAGTGGGTGAGTGTGTTGGAGGGTAGAGTGGGTGAGTGTGTTGGAGGGTAGAGTGGGTGAGTGTGTTGAAGAGTAGAGTGGGTGAGTGTTGAGGGGTAGAGTGGGTGAGTGTTGAGGGGTAGAGTGGGTGAGTGTTGAGGGGTAGAGTGGGTGAGTGTGTTGAAGGGTAGAGTGGGTGAGTGTGTTGGAGGGTAGAGTGGGTGAGTGTTGAGGGGTAGAGTGGGTGAGTGTGTTGAAAGGTTGAGTGGGTGAGTGTGTTGGAGGGTAGAGTGGGTGTGTTGGAGGGTAGAGTGGGTGAGTGTGTTGGAGGGTAGAGTGGGTGAGTGTTGAGGGGTAGAGTGGGTGAGTGTTGAGGGGTAGAGTGGGTGAGTGGGTTGAAGGGTTGAGTGGGTGAGTGAGTGAATGTGTGAGCGAGGGAGCGGCTAAGTGTGTTTGTGCTTGAAAAGTGTGGATGAAATGCAACAGGCAGTCCAGTAGGCAAAGTCATCGATATCGGTGGACGAATGAAGTTGACGGAAACAGTAACCATGGTAGTAGTGATAGAAGAGTAACGAGGAGATGACCGACCACCAGTAGGCGAGTGAGTGGAGTGAATCAGTGAGTGCTGCATCATCAATCACCTTGACTGCTCAATGTTCAATTCTATCGAGTGCAGTGAGTTAGGAGCTGGGTGCAGCACCCTAGACATGGGGCCGAATTTGTGCTTTACATTACAGCAGTAACGCTCGTTGAGTCAATGCTGAAAGATTTGGCGTGGGGGAAAAAATCGATAAGTCCTTTGCTAGACAATTCACACAGCCATTCCGCGAGTGCTCTGTGAAAGCGGACCTGCAGAATTCACAATACCAAACCAGCACTTACCGTGGAGGTTATGCATTGAAAATCTGTATCGGAAGTTGGCCAAGTTAGATTCATTCTTCGCAAGTTTGGCCACAGGCGCCTTGTTCGTGTCCAAGTCCTGAAAAACCAAACAAGGCACGGGGTCAACGTCTCGGAAATAAAAAAAATAAGCACGGCACTTTAAAAAAGGGTAACTGTTAAATTTCGATTTAAAGCTTTCTTGACTGCAGGGATTCATCTTCTTGGTTCTTTCGGTAAAGTTACGTAGAAGGGAAGTAATAAAATAATGAAAATAAAACATAATAAAATAAAATAATTCTCACGACGTTTCGGCTACAATGCAAGCAGCCGTCTTCAGGTGAAGAATGAGACACTGTCAAGCTAGGAGCTTATATATAAGCTGGGTTGGAGGTGGAAGAGCGCCTTAACAAAAAGAATGTGCATATCAAGAGGAATTTAGCATATTCATGGGAAATGTGTAGGAGGTGGGCGGGGGGGTTTCAAAGTCATATTATGCCCATGCATTATGCAGCATCAGCAGCACCAAGGGAGGGTGCAGGGAGTAGCATTAACAAAGGAAAGGAATGTTAATAGTATGTAGCTGCAGTTACTAAACAACCACGTAGAAAACTAAAGTATAAACTACATAAAAACTAAAGTATAAACTGCATAGCACCATCAGTATATTTACTATACTCTACAATGAGCTGAGTTACTAACAGCAAGTAATACATTACAATTCTACGTCGTAAAAATTATATAATATGCTTCCATCTAAACGTTATTCTCTTACATCACACGAGCATACACCGTACTATATACTGCCATAGATAAACCCAACATTAAATTATATACTGTATTGCTATAAACCACCTTATACATTTTAATATAACACTATGTATTATTCTACCCACCCTAATGTGTATCACACTGATATATGTTTACTATACAATTACGATACTATATATTACTTTGTACATTGTATTAAGCATATAAATGTTATACTATTTGTTATAGATGGATTCTGGCTTAGCAATCATTGGAAGGACGTAATAAACCATTTCGGATCTTAACTGATTGTGTTCACGTTTACGTTGACTTTCAGACCGCGTTCCACTCACTGGCATTGTATTCTCCGCAAGGAATGGCTTCTTTGCTCCGCTGCAAGTTTTCCCCCCACGACTCACCCATTGACACGACGGTCAATGGTACAGTGTATAATAACAAATAGTATAACATTTATATGCTTAATACAATGTACAAAGTAACATATAGTATCGTAATTGTATAGTAAACATATATCAGTGTAATACACATTAGGGTGGGTAGAATAATACATAGTGTTATATTAAAATGTATAAGGTATAGGGTGGTTTATAGCAATACAGTATATAATTTAATGTTGGGCTTATCTATGGCAGTATATAGTACGGTGTATGCTCGTGTGATGTAAGAGAATAAAGTTTAGATGGAAGCATATTATATAATTTTTACGATGTAGAATTGTAATGTATTACTTGCTGTTAGTAACTCAGCTTATTGTAGAGTATAGTAAATATACTGATGGTGCTATGCAGTTTATACTTTAGTTTTTATGTAGTTTATACTTTAGTTTTCTACGTGGTTGTTTACTAACTGCAGCTACATACTATTAACATTCCTTTCCTTTGTTAATGCTACTCCCTGCACCCTCCCTTGGTGCTGCTGATCCTGCATAATGCATGGGCATAATATGACTTTGAAACCCCCCCCGCCCACCTCCTACGCATTTCCCATGAATATGCTACATACCTCTTGATATGCACATTCTTTTTGTTAAGGCGCTCTTCTTCCACCTCCAACCCGAGCTTATATATAAGCTCCTAGCTTGGCAGTGTCTCATTCTTCACCTGAAGACGGCTGCTTGGGTTGTAGCCGAAACGTCGTGAGAATTATTTTATTTTATTATGTTTTATTTTTATTATTTTATTACTTCCCTTCTACGTGACTTTACCGAAAGAACCAAGAAGAAAAAGGGTGACTGATTATACCCTCGTTATAGGTGTAATGCTACACGGTGGGTTCCATCCTAACACTGACACCTGCTGCATATTTGGAGTTTGTGTGTCTCTCTCACTCTCCCTGTGGTTGCGTGGATATTTATCCAGGTCCTTCAGTTTTACCTCCACATTTAGAATCAACTTTATGCATTTTTGAGTATTTGCCTGCTATAAATATCCACGCAATAAGCTACTTCATTGAGCTATCATTTGTGATAGCCAGGTCGCTTCTGAAAACGAGCAACACACCTCAGTGGGCCTTACACCTGGAAAAATAAACAAAAGTTTTCTATAGGTGGTTTATTTACTATTTAGTTATTTTTATTAATGCGCGGGCCCATTACGTCACGTTGTGACGCAAGTACACACCATCAACATAAGCGAAACTGGTTATAAAAAGCTGGGGATAGAAAGATGGGGAACGGGTGCTTGCTACCCCAAACCATACCAGGGTCCCACGGAAAGGGGAAAGGGTGACTTTTTTAAGCAAGGGTAAAGAGGGATAAAAGCTAAATACAGCTGGCAAAGATAAGAAAAACATAAGAGGTGACCTAAACCAGCATTTTATCTTTCCACCCCTCTGAATCCGGCTCTTGTCTAATCTGCAGTGGTTATGCACCTTGTCCTCAGTCCCTGTCTCCCAACCCTCCATCCTGCTCACTTACTTCAGGTCTTGTATAAGGTGGGACCATCTGGCCTCGAGTTTAGGTGGATTCTTAACAAAGGGAGTATGTGAGAGTGTGGATGACCGGAATTGCATCACCTTGGTGAGCGTGTCGAGCTCGCCCAGCCAGTTCCCAAACATCTTGTCCAGATCTTCAGCATCATCGTGGTCACTGTCCTCCTCGGCTGGGTGCTCCAGCTCCTCGTCCGACTGCTCCATGTGACTGCGTACCGCTGTGTGTGTGTGTGTGCATACCGCTCTGTATCACTTCATACCGCTCAGCGCGCGCGCCTGCCGCTCTGTGTGTGCCTACCGCTCTGTGTGTGTGCGTATCGCTCTCTGTGCGCGTACCACTGTATGTGTGTGTGTACTGCTCTCTGTGTGTACACCGCTCTGTGTGTACCACTCTGTGTGTGCACCGTTCTGTGTGTGTACCGCTCTGTGTGTGTGTGTGTACCGCTCTGTGTCTGCACCAGTGTATGTGTGTACCACTGTGTATGTGTGCACCGCTCTGTGTGTGTGTGCACCGCTCTGTGTGTGTGTGCACCGCTCTGTGTGTGTGCACCGCTCTGTCTGTGTGTGCACCGCTCTGTCTGTGTGTGTACCGCTCTGTGTGTGTATCGCTCTGTGTGTGTACCAGTCTGTGTGTGTACCACTGTGTATGTGTGTACCGCTCTGTGTGTGTGTGTGTGTACCGCTGTGTGTGTGTGTGTACTAGTGTGTGCGCACCAGTCTGTGTGCGTGTGCGTACCACCCTGTGTGTGTGCGTACTGCTGTGCGTGTGTGTGTGCGTACCACTCTGTGTGCGTATCGATCTGTCAGCGTCTTGGACTGTTGAGAGCTTTCAGGCCAGAACCCTCGACTCCTCTACCTGTAAAATAAAACAAATCAAAAATACGAATGGAGTAAAAAAACTAAACCCACAGGCATGCTATTCTCAACAGTGACAAGTAGAAATACCATGCCAGTATAATGGTGGTAACAGTATCCACAATTGTTCTGCAGTACTACAGTAAGTTAGTCACATACAGCTAACCATCGATTATCTGGCGCGAGATTATCTGGCTTCCAACATTATCCGGCGGTCCCGGGCCGATCCGGCGAAACCAGCAAAACTTCTCCAAAGACTGCATCGGTCCGGCGATCTTCAAACACGTGGTTGTGTTGAAACAAGAGCGTAGTAGTAATACGTACACCACCCCATGCCGAGTCTTCGAGATTGGAGTGGAAAGTACGGTACAGTAAATACGGTAACTTTTTACATAAGGATATTTATTTTTGTCTATTTCTATTTTTATTTGAGAAGAGGCCTGACAGCTCGTTGGGACACTGTCCACAGGAAAGCCACCCACACATATTCTATCTAAAACCTGATTCCCACTACCATCCGGCCCAGAAGAATTCCCTCATCAAAACACTACACCATAGGGCCCACTGCATCTCCGACCAATACCACCTAGCCAGTGAACTGGAACACCAGGCCCTCAAGATGAATGGGTACTCGGACCGCATTATTCACAAAGCTGTTTATCCAACCATGGAGAAACAATCTCCTGAGAAACCAATCAAAACTATCACTTTACCATACATAGCAGGTGTTACCAAAAAAAAATCCAAAATCTTCAACAAACACAAGATCCAAGTACGATTCAATACAGTACACAAAATCCGTGATCTAATCCCATCTGTGAAGGAGGTCATTCCTGACATGCAATACCCTGGAGTCAACAAGCTGAGTTATACCTGCGGCAGCAGTTACATTGGGAAAACGAAACGACATGTCTCGGACCGTGTCCGCGAACACAAGGCAGATCTGAAACATGGCAGAACCAATACCTCTGCTGTAGCTGACTATTGTTATAACGCTGTGGGCTCGCATGATATTGTTTTTTCCGAGACCAAGTTACTCTGCAAACCTTCAGGCTACTATCAAAGGTTTGTTCATGACGCCATCCAGATATATAAACAGACAAAACTTCAAACGAGAAGATGGATATAAATTGCACAATCATTGGAAGGATGTTATCAACCAGGTAATGCCTTAACTGGTTGTTTGTTTCTACCTACGTTACTTTACCGAAAGAACCAAAGAGTATGTATTTTGATAATATTTTTTAAACCTGTATATACGAGTCCTGTACTAAATGTCTGTGTGTTGAAAGAAGACAGATAGGCACTGTAACTGACACAGCTCATGTGTAAACACTCAATGGAGTTAGACAAACATCCAAATAGAGGAGCACAAAACTTGAGCAATAATTGGTAGCAGTTATGGCTGCCTTCCCCATTCGTCTGTGGGCCTCTGAGCGAACAACTACTGAGCATATTAGATTCAATATGGTTATTGGCAGAAAATGGTTATCGGCAGATCCTTGTACTGTCACTTCTCGTCACATAATTCCAGGAACACACTGACGCACTTCTGCCATTGTGGAACCAACTTGAAAATGCCACCTTGATAGAACCATCACCAAACTGTTCCTTCCTCATCTTAGAATTAGGGGTGTAGCAACGAATCGATCGACTAATGTCCATTATGATATAAAGCTCACACACCACTCACGAATTGTGTTAGGTAACAAGAATTATGTTTGGGGCTCATATTCATTTTACTTGTTGGCCCATGAAAGAATTTAAAAAATACTTTTTCACGAGGATCATGTCAAGTTTTTGCAGTAGGTGGCGATGTTGCCGCTGATGTGTGTAATATGCATTCAACTATTTTCATGGTAATTATTTAGCACTGCTGTATTTGGTCCAATACCGATTACACGGTGGTTATGTTTTTCGCTTGACCCCACAGCCGTTCAGACGCTGCTGCTTTCTCACCACAACGAGGGAGAGAGATAATCCATTCTCGAGTTGAATTGTCACCCAGGAAAGCTACAATCACCGGGGGCGGCTCTTTACATCAGACTTATAATAAGCAAAGCATGCTTTGACATCTTTTAAATTCCGTACAAATTGAAATGCTTACATATGTGTAGCCGCCCCGATGACAGCAGGACGCATCTGCTGGAAAATCTGAACAAAGAAATGAGCTAAGCTGTCGATTCTTTCAAACTTAAACCTGATATTGCATTTTACCCTTTCTTGCTCTGTCGACGTCTGGAAACGTCATTAGTTTTTTTTCCAATTCCATTCCAATGGCATATGTGTACATTATGAAAATGAATCCGAAAGAAAAACGAGAATAAAATAACTTTATCGGTAATGAGGCTCCCACAAGGCCGTGCGGGAGGGAGTGGCACAGTTTTGTCGCTAGCTATCGGAGTGGTGGTCGTATCACTGCGGTTCTCTGCAGTGAGTAAAACATCTTTAAAAACAGCGGTGCTATTCCCCTCTAAATTAAATTAACGCTAACAGCTTACACGTTCTGAGATTCAGCGATGAATGGGACCCACCCTGCAACTTGCAGACATTTTGCAACAGGAACAGGTTTACCCGTATATACTTGTCTGTTTACATACTCGTGCAATAATAGTCACCCTATGTCTGTTTCATGCTTCTGTAACTTAATTGTAATTGCACCACGATCAGTCTAAACACAATCTGCCTGAGCTGACTTGCGCCACAGAGGATTTATTATTTAACACTGGCGCTGCCTGCCTGACAGCAAGAAGGCCCTGGGTGAGATTCCCGACTTGGGCATCTTTCCGTGTGGAGTTTGTGCTCCCCCTGTTCTGCGTGGGTTTCCCAGGGGTTCGCCAGTTTTCTCCTCTCATAGCTAAAAAAACCCAACACAACTGAAAATGGCCAAACATCCCAAAGCTAAAAAACACTGCAAATTACACAAACGGGATTATCCACAACAATACCATCCCTAGTGTGGAAACTTGGCAGGGCCCTCTGGAAAGTGTTGCGATACGGTGAGGATTTCCTGGGTTAATAAGCGTAATAATAGTAATGTTAGATGATACTGAGATACATGAAGTGAGATAGGGTATGTGGAAACCAGAAATTGATTCCCTGCTACAATTCGCATCAGGGACAAATCAGGTTGCTACCCTCTTGCAGACCAAAACCTCGACGTATTTCTCAGTGAGCCTAGGCCTATCAATCGTGCAGAATTCTATCAAACTTCAAGACAACACCCCCAAGATCTCAGTACAAAGACGTAAATTCCCGGATTTTCGGGGTCAAGCCCAGACAGGTGGCGACCCTATAGGCAGCGATATCAGCACCGACCCGTCCTGACTGGCGTAGGCAAGCCTGGTCACAACAACAATAACCGCCATCCACCACGAAGTGGCAGTGACGTCACCACAGCACTTGTGCCAAGCTACGAGCACTTTAAGGCCACGTGAAGTGTCGAACGCCCGCTGGTAGGTCACAGGACAGGCAAAAGTGCCATGGGTTAACTGATTGAGATGACTGGCCGATGCACCACCTGTGATTACCGTATTTTCCCGCATATAATCCGTGGGGTATACCACTTTTTACAAACAAGACCCTGCGGGGTATATGGAGGTGCGGGCTATCCCAAAAATATTTTACACGTGTGACATGTCATAACTCGTTTAATTTTTTCATGGTAGGACTATCCACTATGCAACACTTACCTTTGACTAAAGCACTGCTGAATAAACCACTCACACTAAAATTGCACATGGTATCGCGTTTTAAATGATTTAAATTGTTTGTACAATGAAACGACAATGTTTTAAGTGGGTGCACTTTGTTTACCGTAATACTTCAGTGGCTGTAGGGGGGTGTGAAAGTTTCAGCTGAGGCTATGGATTGTACATTGGGAAGGGCCTTAACAAGTGTCTCCTCGACGTGGAATCATAATTGCCAAGTCCCTTAGGCCGCTGCTATTAGCCGAGCACTATACAGTCGCGACCATGAGCTTTGTTTCAAACTTCCAATGGCTTTGTTGCCAGAAGGCAATGGCGTTACCGTAGTGCCGCTATTGTCTACGCAATGCGCAATCTACCAGTGCTAAAACTGTACTTACTTATCTACCAGTTATGTGTTACTATTTATTGGATATTTACTTTTGTTAAATATATACTGTTCACTCGTTTCCGGTTAGTTTGTTTTCTTTGTGCACGTTATGATTTTAATGTTAACAATTCATAGTGGAATGAATTACAAATGTAAACTTTGTATTACTATGATGGAATTAAGCTGCGGTAACAACGTTAAAGATATGAAGGCATGCGGGGTATATGGAGATGCAGCCTATCTGAAATTTGTTGTACACAAAACGCTATTTTTGCGGGGTATATGCGTCTGCAGGTTTCATGCGTATGCAGGCTATATGGGGGAAAATACGGGACTACTGCGCCAACGAAAAGTGGTCAAACAACCACCACCACAACCACCACACAACCACCACAACCAAACAACCACCACAACCAAACAACCACCACCAAACAACCACCACAACCAAACAACCACCACCAAACAACCACCACAACCAAAAAAACCTACACTACCACCACAACCAAACAACCTCCACCACCACAACCAAACCGCCTCCACCACCACAACCAAACCGCCTCCACCACCACAACCAAACAACCTCCACCACCACAACCAAACAACCCCCACCAAACAACCACCACAACCAAAAAAACCTACACTACCACCACAACCAAACAACCTCCACCACCACAACCAAACAACCTCCACCACCACAACCAAACAACCTCCACCACCACAACCAAACAACCTCCACCACAACCAAACAGCCTCCACCACCACAACCAAACAGCCTCCACCACCACAACCAAACCGCCTCCACCACCACAACCAAACAACCTCCATCAATACAACCAAACAACCTCCACCACCACAATCAAACAGCCTCCACCACCACAACCAAACCGCCTCCACCACCACAACCAAACAACCACCACCATCAAA